TGTACAAAGGTGCTTTAATTCACGTCACATTCGGAATCCTATTCCAAAATCACGGTGCCTTGGGAGTTGATCTTCACAGGAGCTCCCTGTCCTTTAGGAATAAGAACTGGATTGGAAATATGGATGGAAAGCACCGTTTCCGACGTGGGTAGATCTTTGGGGTGGTTTTTCTATGGAGGTGAACCAAGGCTGAGAAAGTATGACCCCATTTATTATTTATTTCGGTTGCTTCTACCCCGCCTTTCTCACCCCGGGGGGGGGACTCAGGGCGGCTTCCAAAAGCAAGGCACAATTCGATGCCCGCATAACATAACAGCAAAAAACAATAACATCAATTAACAAAACAGTAATTCTAGCAATAACAATAATTAACAAAAACAATTATTATATAGGCAAAAACAACCATAAAACCAATAAAAGCAATAAAACCAATACAAACCTCATTGATGGTCAGCGTTTCACAATCTCATAGTTAAATTCCAATTCCACAGTTGTCAGTCCTTTCAGTCCTATCCATCTGGTTTCCATATCTAATTGTCAGATTGCCCAAAGGCCTGGTCCCACAACCACGTCTTTACCTTCCTCCTGAAGGCGAGGAGGGATGTTGATGCCCTGATTTCCCCCGGGAGTGAGTTCCACAGGTGAGGGGCCACCACTGAGAAGGCCCTGCTCCTCCTCCCCACCAGTCTCACTTGTGATAGCGGTGGGGTCAAGACCAGGGCCTCCCCAGATGATCTCAAATTCCGGGGTGGAATGTAGAGAGAGATACGTTCGGACAGATACACAGGACCGGAAGGACCCCAGAAGGACCATCTTCTGGATTTTTCCCAAAATGGGAAGATCGTCTAAACATGAGGATAGATATCAACCTCAAATATGGCCAAGAAACATTTCCTAAATCAAAGACTTGCAGTTGTGCTGTCATTTTGATTTATTAAAAAATATTGCCAGCAATCTATCCCTTTAATTAAGGAACAATTCTGAAAAATATTTAATAATCAGAGTATTCATTATATATTATATATTTCATGTCAAATGACTAATAACATTCTGGTATAGTGGCATAGTACAATATAGCGATACATCCTGTGGATATTGTGGCATGCTACGGAGGCCTGCGCTGACCTCTTCTTGCAACGGCCGGCCTGCCTGCCTAACTTCCGGGACCAGGAGGTGCTGTACTTTGAATTTGCTTGTGCTGAGGGTTGGACTAAATGGCCTTTAGAGCTCCCTTACAAATCTATCAGCATTCATAATAATATTAATAACAAGGCTGAATGGCCATCTATCGGGGGTGCTTTGACTGTGCTTTCCCTGCATGAAGGCAGAAGGAAGAGAGTTGGATTAGAGAGCCTTTACAGCTCCCTTCAAAAGCTGCTTCTTCTTCTTCTTCTTCATTATTATTATTATTATTATTATTATTATTATTCTTGAATTTAAGGCTGGTTGGCCATATGTCAGGCGGGCCTTTACTTTCTTTTGCTGCATGAAGGCAGAATGAAGAGCGTTGGACTAGAGAGCCTTTAGAACTCCCTTCCAACTCTCATTATTATTGTTGTTGTTGTTATTAATATTATCATTATTAATATTATTCCCATGAATATTAATTTAACCTACTGATCCCTCTATTAATGTAATTTTAATAAGAATGTATCTGTTTTCATTTTTCAAATTGACCAGTAGCTGCTTCGTTTCCCACCATTGGCTTACACTGGTGTCAAGAAGTTTTCCCAGTTTTTATTGTGTAAAATTAGGAGCCTAGGCTTATGTTCGGGTTGGCTGATACTCGAGTATATACGGTAAATCAACAAGCAAAGAAAGAAATAATATTTTGGGAATAGATCTGGACAGGAGCTTCCCATCTTTGAAGAGCAATAACAATATGTGAAAAAGAGCCGGAGGGTCCAGTTAACTAGGATTGTTTTTGCTCTCGGAAACAGAGCCTGGGACGGCCCTGCCTCGGACCCGTGGGCGTTCTCCCGGACAAGTGCGAAGCGTGGCCGTCCCTGCTTATCGGTCTTGAGCGGTCTCCCATCCGTTCTGAACAAGGGCCGTAAGATGTCTCTGTACATCTTAGAAAACTATTTCTAGATTTAAGTCGTTGACGTGCTGGCTGATACCCAAACAGGGGATGAGCTGGAGATGTCTCTGCCTTGGTCCTTTCACTATTGGCTGCTACTTCCCGGCGGATGTCAGGTGGTGCTAAGCAGTGTAATTTCTCCAGTGGTGTAGGGCGCAGACACCCCGTGATAATGCGGCATGTCTCATTAAGAGCCACATCCACTGTTTTAGTGTGGTGAGATGTGTTCCACACTGGGCATGCGTACTCAGCAGCAGAGTAGCACAGCGCAAGGGCAGATGTCTTCACTGTATCTGGTTGTGATCCCCAGGTTGTGCCAGTCAGCTTTCGTATGATATTGTTTCTAGCTAAGTCTATGAGATGCAAAAAATTAAGAGTCCCTCCAGAACTGCAAGCACTATCTCAGGCAAATATTGACAATTTATTCACACTGTCATTACTTGCAGCAATAGCCGATGTAGTGAAGCAACCAAGTTGGTGTGTGTGTGTTGAATGCTCTCATTAAGGAGGCCAGACTTGGTGGAGGTGGTTGACAGGGGCGGAGCTGCAGGCGATTGAAGGCTGCTCTGCCCCTGCTGTGCTCTTTGCTTCAGCGTGAGCTAGGAGGCAGGTTTCAACACACACCCCCAAGAAATTTTCAAACCCCCCCCCAAAAAATGTCAACCCCTCCCAAAAGATTTTTCTGGCTACGGCCCTGATGAGATGTACTCCACACTGGGCATGCATACTCAACAGTAGAGTAGCAAAGCGCAAGATCAGATGTCTTCACTGTGTCTGGTTGTTATCCCCCGGCTAGCAGCCCCCGGTGGCGCAGTGGGTTAAACCTGTGCCAGTAGGACTGAGGACTGACAGGTTCAAATCCGGGGAGAGGCGGATGAGCTCCCTCTATCAACTTCAGCTCCTCATGCGGGGACATGAGAGAAGCCTCCCACAAGGATGATAAAAACATCAAATCATCCGGGCGTCCCCTGGGCAACGTCCTTGCAGACGGCCAATTCTCTCACCAGAAGCGACTTGCAGTTTCTCAAGTCGCTCCTAACACAACAACAACAAAAAAAATCCCCAGGCTGTGCTATTCAGCTTTTGTATGTTATTTCTTGCACCCACGTTTTGCTTGATATTCAAGCAGTGCTTCTTATAAGTCAGAACACGGTCCAGAGTGACTCCAGGTATTTTGGTGTGCAATGCCTCCAGTGGGATTCCTGCTGTAATGAGAAGCAGGCTGCATAGGCTATGGCAGCAGGGCAGGGCCCATGTTCCTTTGGGCCGTGAGTGGGAAAGAAGGGCAGATATTCTGACTCACCGCTTTATCAGCCAGTGGTTGTATCTGGCTGCTCCTGACACGATAAATAAATAAAAAGCCAGTGGTTTACCAGAAAATCTCATTGCCATCCTTTGTGGTTTCTTTAACATCATTCCATGAAAGCATCCCAAAAGAGAAAACTGCACACTGACAGCCCTCTGGATTCCAGCATTAATGACAACAGGCCATGTTGTTAGGCCTGGTGGGAACTGGAGTCCAACAAAAGTCATACTGCCACGGGTTTCCTAGCTCCACCACTGGATAAAGCAATGGAAAACGGGATAAAATAAAGAGGTAGATAAAAGCTTGTGGAGGTAAAATACTTTTATTGCACTGAAGATACAGTAAATATTCATGCTCCTTCTTCCAAGCCATTACTAGTTTCATCTTGGATGGGAGCAGATAATCTGCTCTGTTTTAAGACTCAACATTGAATTCAGTGGTGACCATCTGAGGCATAAAGTAAGGTTGAACCCCACTACTCTAGAAATCATGTCCTCTCATGTTCACATATGGCCAGTGTTAATAATAATAATAATAATAATAATAATAATCTTTATTTATACCCTGCCACCATCTCCCCAATGGGGACTCGGAGCGGCTTACAGGTGAAACAGCAGACAAGAACTGCAGGAAATAATATTGTTCTAATATGGGCAAAAGAATCCAGAGTGAACAGTAGGTTAGTACTATAACTCAAAAGTTACAGAAGCACCCTCCTGTTGTTACTTTTGGATCTTATGACATATTCACCAGGACACACAAACAGCAGCCACCTCATTCATTTTGGTATTGCATTTTGGTATTGCCTGCAGTAACATGTAATGGTGAATTTTGGGAAAGTGCTGTTTTCCCTCTCTCTGTAGGGCGAAAACATACTTGATACATGGCTCCTTTGATGAAACTCCCCTAAAAGTGCAGGCCCCTGCAGCCTCAGAATAGCCAGCAATGAACAAGATTACATCTGCTTACAGTTACAAGTATATTCTTTAGAGAAAAGGACTATTTACATGCACATACACGCATTCATAAGACGTATAGGCCGAACTCAGGTATAAAGGTACCCTCTATGGTAGCAGAACACAATTTTAATGTATTTGAGGATGAGGTAGTAGAGGTGTCTTACTTTCAAATTTAATCGCTGATCATTCCTGGCATTCCCGTTACATACGAAAATATCTAGACTGCTGGCTATGAACACCATAGCTATGAACAACAGCAGCGGTATGGTCCAGTAGAATACAGTATTAGGACTTCAAACCAGGGTCTATTTATCTAACCATTTAATCTGTAATAAGCCCTGCAGTCTGGGTGCCAGATCTTGCAAGAGAAGATATTATAGAAAGGTGCCCCAGAACATAAACAGAATGGCTTTTCCTAAAAAGCTAAATCATTGCAAGACAATATAGAAAGGTGCCCCTGAACATATACAGAATGGCTTTTCCTAAGAAGCTAGCTCAGGCATGGGCAAACTTCGGTCCTCCAGGTGTTTTGGACTTCAACTCTCACAATTATGGCTGTTAGGAATTGTGAGAGTTGAAGTCCAAAACACCTGGAGGACCAAAGTTTGCCCATGCCTGAGCTAGACCATTGCTTGACATTAATGCAGCATTCTCATGATCTTTTTAAGCAAGTAAAACAATAGCTCAGCGTGCAGCATGCTCTTGAAGCTCCACAGTGTATGCCACACACTTCAAAGTGCAACAGAATAATTTTAAACTTTTCTTATCTTTTTACAAAAAAATAACCCAGCAGGAAAGCAAAGGGTATTTTTTAAAAAAGCATTTTGCTTCAAATGCAAGAGATTCATTGTGTGGTGTTATTTCTGTGTTCAAACATAAACAGTGTTTTAAGACAGTTTTATCCCTCATTCCTCAGAGAAAAGAAGCCACAGCCACAGCATGGAATATACATGCTTTGCAAAAAGAAGGGAAACGCTAAAAGCAAGATTCCCCTTCCCCTAACACACACACTTGCCCAAACAGTTGTGAGTAAGGTGCAATATGGCTCAGAGAGTTGCATGCTTGTGTTTCAAGAGGTGAGTTCTTAAGGGCGATGTGCATCCAGACAACTACCACAGAGTAAACAAAAACCCTGGTGTTTCTGGGTTATCTGTGCAGCATCAACAATTGTGGCCCTGGATTCGCTTCCACAATCCCTTGCCAAAATAAGTCTTCTTGTGCTCATGCCTTCTGAACATGCGATACTCAGGATTAAGGAAAATGCCAGGAGCCAGATCATCTGGAAAACAAAGTGCTGGTTGGAACCATCGTAGGGACCTCCTTCCCAGTCAGACAGGATTGGGGCTACTTGTGGGGGGACCTGCACCCCTGATTCCCAGTTCCCTGAGATGCTTGCAGGCACGTTCAGCACTAAAAGCTACATGCAACCCGGCTTTGAGGTGTAGCCAAGCCTCAACCTCTTCTCTCAGCCACTCAACGGTTTTTGAATCTAGAGAGACAGAAAAAGACAGTCAGAAGGCCTGTTTGAACATCAGAGATTGGAGGTGGCTCAGTTCCCTTCCTGAAAAAATAAGGTTGAGCCCTACCTGGGTTTTTCAGCAGGGCCTTCTGATTCTGTTGCTGAAGCTGGTGGAGGAAACTGTGTGCCAATATCACCTCCTTGGTGTGCTCTTCCTGGGCACGCAGGGTAAGGGCATCCAGAAACTCTGAATTGTTGGATGTGCTGCGGTAGTACAACATATGCACCAACTCAAGGGAGTGAATGTTTCGCCGCTGGCCAAAGACCTTGAGGAAAAAAATGAGAGAGGGTGCAGGAAGCTCCCATTTCACCAAAAGCAAAGTCTCCCAGAATGGGAGGGCTTGCACAGGAATTATACCAATAAGAACGAACCTGCACGACCTCTTTGATCTTATAAGAACAAACCTGCACAACCCCTTCAATCTTCTGGGGAGGCCCTCCTCTCACTCCCACCCCCCGTTGCAACTGCAGCTTGTGAGGACGAGGGAGAGAGCTTTCTCAGTGGTGGCCTTTCGGCTTTGGAACTAATTACCTGGGGAGATTAGGCTAACTCCCACCTTGTCAGCTTTTAGGAAAACCTTGAAAACTTTGATGTTCCATCTTGCTTTTGATGAATGAACAATCCCCATAACATGACCATCTCAGCATATCCTCTTCACACACTTCACCTTATTCCTAGTGGGAAATTAAACCCCATAGCTTATCTCCCTGTATCTCCCACAAGATAAATCACTCCAGTTTTCCTATATCACTCCATGTCCCTTGTTTTTATCCTTGCATCTGGCCCAGCCCACCTTGATTAACTCTTTCTCCTTATTTTTTATTTTACTTCACACCCGGTGTTTTATTCCACTGTGTTATTTTTCTTTTATTGTTTGTTTTATTGTTTTTATTGCTGTACTTTATTTTAGTTATTATTTGCTGTATGTATTTCATTTGTTTATTTTATTCATTGGGCTTGGCCTCATGTTAGCTGCCCCGAGTCCCGGAGGCGAGATGGTGGCGGGGTGTAACGTTTAATAATAATAATAATATCTCCTGTGCAGTAGGACACATATGTCAGAAATATTAAATATTAACTAGGTATTTTTGATTACAAAAGTGTGAGTTAGTAGGCCAAAAGCTAGTGTTAGAGTTAGCGAGCCAAAGCTAGTGTCGTCCTGAGGAGAGTGAGTAGGCCGAAACCTGTTAAGAATGTGTGGATCAAAGCTGGTGTCGTGAGGTAATCTTCAGTGCGAGAAGCCCCAAGTTAAAGGCCTCATGTGTAAAGCTCATGTGTCAAGCTCCAGTATAAAGACTGCTGTGTGTAAAAAGCTACTGTGTCAAGCTCCAGTTTAAGTTTGGTGTGAGAGGAGGCTCTGTGAGAGCAAAGCTATTCATCTACATGAGRAAGAAGCCCAGCATGGAARTAAATAAGGAAGTATAAAAAACTTTATTTGTGTTTTGGAAACCTTGTTATTGTAAATAGCRCAACTATATTTACTACAAAGAAAAGCCTCCTTTGGAAGAGATAACATTGGTCTGYATGTTTTTGCCCTTTTTATCACTTTGGGCTACTGGTGCTGGGTTACGCTGCTGCTAATAAGTTACTCTGCTGTACATTTATGAGGAGGGTCTTTTGTTAATAAGACCACTCACCCAACAAGATAGGTACTTGTGTGTCATAGAAGAAAGTTGCAGGATGTGCTTGTTTTAACTTCTAAGTGAAGTGTCCATCAATCCTGTGGCAGGATGGATGGATATGTTTTGCAAAAGACACACTGAGGGAAGGTATACAATACATTATTAAGAGAAGATGTAGTTAAGAGATTTTAGACAAACTGATCAGCCATCTCTTGGGAGCGCTTTAGTTGTGGATTCCTGCATGGCAAGGAAATGCATGAGATGGTCCTTGAAAAACTTTCCAAGTTTTTGATCTTTGAAAACTGTTAACTGCCACTCCTCTTTTTGTCCTTTTGCATTGGCATTCAACTTTGTACTTACTACATGCTTTCCATGATTTTGCTAGCAAAGTGCCCATCAATATGAGGAATGGAAAGAGGCAATGCTTGTTATTGCAAAACACCACATTGTGGGATGAGAATGCAACACACTGCAGGAAGAGAAGTGCCTCTTTAGAGCAGTGGTTCTCAACCTTTGGCCCTCCGGGTGTTTTGGACTTCAGCTCCCACAATTATTAACAAGGAGCCCCCGGTGGCGCAGTGGGTTAAACCCCTGTGCCGGCAGGACTGAAGACTGACAGGTCGCAGGTTCGAATCTGGGGAGAGGCGGATGAGCTTCCTCTATCAGCTCCAGCTCCTCATGCCGGGACATGAGAGAAGCCTCCCACATGGATGATAAAACATCAAATCATTCGGGTGTCCCCTGGGCAATGTCCTTACAGACAGCCAATTCTCTCACACCAGAAGCGACTTGCAGTTTCTTAGGTCCCTCCTGACACGACAAAAAAAAAAATTCTTAACAGCTGCTAAGATGGCTGGGGTTTCTGGGAGTTGAAGTCCAAAACAACTGGGGGACCAAAGACTGGGAACCACGGTTTTGGAGAGAGAAAAATAAGATAGAGATAACAATAAGGTCTATTGCAGTGTCTCATTTTAACTTTGTTCTTTCTGCACTGGTCTCTAACTTTTAAAAGTCTGAATGAAAATGCATATGCATTTCTGCAAGCAGCCATTTTTTAACATGATGCTGGTTTGTACAGTTTTGCCTCATAAGCTTACATTTTCTCTCAATGCATGCATATCTGCAGGAATGTTTTGTTCAGAGAGTAGCACTGAGAAGTACAAATGATGAAGGATAATTACATTCTAGTTACCAAAATCTGAACGAAACAAATTCAAACCCCCTCCAAAACCAGATGTCAACTTCTAGAAATTTCCATTTTTGATTTTTCAGCATTGCTGTAGAGTTCTGCGAGTGGTTTTATCTATGAGAAATTTGAAGAAAGCAAATTGACACTCAGAACTTCCCATATTTCTCTTCTCAGCCCTGGGGAATGTCAATGGATAGAGGCTGAGAAAATGAATACTTGGGAGGATTACAACTCTGAATGCTTCATTCCTTTGAGGCAACACTGGTTGGGGCACTCTCTGAGTGGTAACACAAAAAGGCAATTGTGCCATGCTCTAGTTAAAGATATACTTACCTTCCAAGCACGGAAGGCCATTAAAGCAGCAAAGAAAATCAGCAGTGTGGTTGTGCCGATCTTTAGGTCAGAAAGCACCACCATCCCGACATTGACAAAGACAGCCAAGCCGCTCACAATGAGCATGGTGTTGAGAAGGGCCCTGTAGAAGATGGAGGTGCGGACTTTGACAGCCGGCAGCAACTGCTCCAGGCCTTCCAGGGGAATGTCCTTAAAGCATTTCAGCATCAAGTGGGCATTCTTAATCCGTGCAGCCACCACCACCCGTTTGAAGTATTGCCTAGATGGGGAAAGAAGAAAGGGTAAGAGCATCGGAACACAAACAATACGTGAAATGATCCATTAAAAAAAAAAAGACTCCAGTCATGTTAAGCATACCAGATTATTCAACTAGAAACTGATTTCTGATCAAAACGTACTAGTTCAAAAAAGCAGAATTTATATTTGTCCCTGAGAGTAAGTAATCCTAGGGTTTCTACAAAGAGAAATCCCAGGTATTATGAAGTTTTTCTGAAGAGTGTACTTCTTTGTATCCCACTTTTCCTCACAAAGAGCTCGGTATTATTTAGTATTCATAAAATGCAATCCACAGCTTCAAAAGGCTCTCATGGACATTATCTTAGTAATCCTCACAAGCCCATATTCAGCTGCCTTTCTTCACTGTTCAGCTACAAGTCATGCCAAAGCAATAGACAAGACATGGCACAAGGCTGCAGAACAATAGGGGAGGACACACTTTGCATGTAGGAAGATACCAATCCTGTGTATCTCCAGCAAAAAAGAGATGAGATATGGCCAGGAACAGCAGAGAGCAATTGCCACTCACCAACTTTAGGATTTTGAAGAACAAAACAAAACATATTATACGAATGTCTACAATGTAAAGGTTGAACTTGCTGACCAAAAGGTTGGCAGTTCAAATCTGGGGAGGGGGTGAGCTCCCGCTGTTAGGCCCAGCTTCTGCCAACCTAGCAGTTCGAAAACATGCAAATGTGAGGAGATCAGTAGGTACCACTTTGGCGGGAAGGTAACAGCGCTCCATGCAGTCATGCTGGCCACATGACCTTGGAGGTGTCTAGACAATGCTGTCTTTTGGCTTAGAAATGGAGATGAGCACCCCCCCCCCCCCCGAGTCAGACATGACTAAATGTCAGGGCAAACCTTTACCTTTTACAATGTCAAATGAGTTAAATATTTAAACAAGAGGGAAAGGTTCCTATGCATGTGGCTGGCTTAGACTCTGGGCAGTTCTCTCACTGCCTTTCTTTAATCCAACCTACAAGCTGGGGTGAAAACTGGTGGAAGAAACATTAACAACCTCAGATATGCAGATGACACCACTCTGATGGCCGAAAGCGAGGAGGAGCTGAGGAGCCTTCTAATCAAGGTGAAAGAAGAAAGCGCAAAAGCCGGGTTGCAGCTAAACATAAAAAAAAACCAAGATTATGGCAACAAGAATGATTGACAACTGGAAAATAGAGGGAGAAAATGTGGAGGCTGTGACAGACTTTGTATTTCTAGGTGCAAAGATTACTGCAGATGCAGACTGTGGCCAGGAAATCAGAAGACGCTTACTTCTTGGGAGGAGAGCAATGTCCAATCTCAATAAAATAGTAAAGAGCAGAGACATCACACTGGCAACAAAGATCCGCATAGTCAAAGCCATGGTATTCCCTGTAGTAACCTACGGATGTGAGAGCTGGACCATAGGGAAGGCTGAGCGAAGGAAGATAGATGCTTTTGAACTGTGGTGTTGGAGGAAAGTTCTGAGAGTGCCTTGGACTGCGAGAAGATCCAACCAGTCCATACTTCAGGAAATAAAGCCCGACTGCTCATTGGAGGGAAGGATACTAGAGACAAAGTTGAAGTACTTTGGCCACATCATGAGGAGACAGCAAAGCCTAGAGCAGACAATTATGCTGTGGAAAGTGGAAGGCAAAAGGAAGAGGGGCCGACCAAGGGCAAGATGGATGGATGGCATCCTTGAAGTGACTGGACTGACCTTGAAGGAGCTGGGGGTGGTGACGGCCGACAGGGAGCTCTGGCGTGGGCTGGTCCATGAGGTCACGAAGAGTCGGAGACGACTGAATGAATGAACAACAACAACACAATCTGAGTCTTGTGGGAAATAGGACAAATTTAGGTTTTCAGTAAATGTCTAAAACATACCAATACAGTACTGCAGAAGGGTGCTCATTCGCACAGATTTTCATCACAGAGCAATTCAGTCTCTGTGTTGCTGCCAAACAGTAATCTGTGGACGACAGATTATGGACAAAGATCTCAAGGTTGCAAAAGATACCAGGGAGACAATTTTTCTTGCCTGTCTGCTGGAATCCGAGTCGTGCCAAAGAATCCCCTCTTTGGGAGTGGAATGGTTGTTGACACATGCAGAGGTCCTGTCCGCTGGCCAAGAGCCCAGAATCTCATGTATTCATACTGATCCAGATTCACTGTCACCTGCAGAAAGGAAGTCAGGCCTGGCATAAAAATACAATTGCTGTTAGAAACAAGGGTTCTCAGCAGTTTCTTTCATACCATACAATTGAAGCACTTCAACAGCACTTCAAAAGCCATAGAATCCAGGGATTTGTAGGTAGTTTTTTTCAGATTTTTCGAGTTCTTAGACACAGAGCTAGAGTTCCATAAGATACAGTTATGTCAGTTAAAGTGTTATCTAAGTGCTGCAGTTGTGCAGTATGAAAGAGAAGCTATTTTCATTCACCATTGTGAGGGGTGTTCCAAGCCTAATGTGAATGTCTTTTCCCCAGTTTGTTTATTTTTATGTTAATTTTTCTGACATAAAAGTTCAAACCCAACAATGTATGAATGATGAGAAAAACAAACTTTGTCCATAAAAATAGCAAGGAAACAAACTGCAAGGACAACAAAGCCCAATGTCTTATAGAAAAATACAGAAATGACTGAGTAGTGATAAACCATAGAATGTTGGGCACTTTGGAAAATTTTGTGGATTGCTGGACGATAGTCTTTTGGCCTTTTCCAACATAGTAAAACAAAAATTAATGTATGCACATAGCTCTTATTATTTCAGAGCTGTGCTGTTATCTAGGATTCAAGTAAACATGAAAAGCCTTTGGTTCAGCTCTGTTCACACCTATTTTTGTGTGTAAAATACTAGGTGTGGTAGGTTACATTTCAGAGGAAGGAACTGGCAAAACCACCTCTGAATATCCCTTACCTAAGAAAACCCTGTTAAAGTAATGTAGTTGCCACGTTGGCAGGCAACTTGAATACACACATATTATTCACTAGTCAGACGATTCCAATGTTTACCAGAGTAATGTGAGTGGGTTTACATTGTGGGAAGAATTCCACTTCAAATAGGAGAGATCTGGAGAGCAAAAGTGAATTTTAAGGATTTTGATCCAGGTCTGGAAATGGAGTCAACTGGCCTGGTCTACACATGCAGCAGAATGTAGCCTGAAGTGATACAGTCCTTCAACCAGAGCCTGGAACGCTACTTCTTAAAAAGTAAACGTTTACATAATTCATTGCTTAAGGTATCAAATAGTAACTAATTATTTTTATCATTAGGCATTTTTAAAAATCAGCATATTATAGTGATATTTTCTTAGTAAAAAGCTATTGAGGCCAATAAAAGAATGACATAAAATTAAAAAAATCACTTCCACTCTCAAACCTGTTCTAGAATGCATAAAGTAACCCTTTAAGGCCAAGTTTTAAAAAGGTAACTAGAAAATGTTATTTCCCTCCTTCAACATATCTCTGACATTGTTTCCATTCATTATACGGTAATTGAACCATGGCTCTGTTGGTGGTGACTATGTACCTTGTAACTAATTACACCACAAATCTGTATGCCACTGCCTCTTGAACTTTGTTCCCACCTCGATTATACACAGATGGTTTTTTTCAAGTCGCAGCGTGCTATAGTGATGAAGATGTGGCTTTCCGCAAACAGGCCTCACCTGGACAATATCCTGAGGATGGTGGACCACAAGGGCATAAGCCAATGTTTCGTCTGACAATCTGTTGAAGTTGGCCTGATCCAGCAGAGGTTCCATCTTGGCCAAGACCTCCTGTTCAGTTGCTAACCGCTCAGCATCTGTCAAAGATAATTCCTGCAAAGTGTCCTGGTCAGGATTAATAGGTGCGTAAAGCATCTGCGAATTGGGAAAAATACATAGCAGTGCTGGTTAGTAATGTTTTTCTAGCTTCACTCTTTTGACAGATCTATATTATAGCCCATATGTGGCACTTTCAATCCCTAGCCTGCTCATTCAACCATGCATTCAGTTCTCTGTCAGTCCAGTTTGTAGAAGCCGCATCCTCTTCCACTAGGATACTTTGGGGGGGGGAGAATCATAGAATCAAGAGTTGGAAGAGACCTCATGGGCCATCCAGTCCAACCCCCTGCCAAGAAGCAGGAATATTGCATTCAAATCACCCCTGGACAGATGGCCATCCAGCCTCTGTTTAAAAGCTTCCAAAGAAGGAGCCTCCACCACACTCCGGAGCAGAGAGTTCCACTGCTGAACGTCTCACAGTCAGGAAGTTCTTCCTCATGTTCAGATGGAATCTCCTTTCTTGTAGTTGAAGCCATTGTTCCTTGTCCTAATCTCCATGGAAGCAGTAAACAAGCTTGCTCCCTCCTCCCTGTGGCTTCCTCTCACATATTTATACATGGCTATCATATCTCCTCTCATCCTTCTCTTCTTCAGGCTAAACATGCCCAGCTCCTTAAGCCGCTCCTCATAGGGCTTGTTCTCCAGACCCTTGATCATTTTAGTCGCCCTCCTCTGGACACATTCCAGCTTGTCAATATCTCTCTTGAATTGTGGTGCCCAGAATTGGACACAATATTCCAGATGTGGTCTAACCAAAGCAGAATAGAGGGGTAGCATGACTTCCCTAGATCTAGACACTATGCTCCTATTGATGCAGGCCAAAATCCCATTGGCTAGTATATTATTGGTCAATGTGATGTAGTGGCTTGAGTACTGGATTAGGACTTTGGGAGACTAAGGTCCACATCTCCATTCAGCCATGGAAGCCCATTGGGTGACCTTTGGCAAAGCACATTCTCTCAGCTATAGAAAAAAAGCAACAGTAAACCTCTTCTGACATTAAAAAAACTTCTTGCTATTAAAAAGCCTCTCTAAATTGTAGTTTACCTGAAGACACATAGCAACAATACAAGAACCCCACAACATCTAGTTTGAACTGAGTTGGAGGCCACTTGAATGCTGAATTACTAGTGCATTTAATACCAATCATGACATCCCTTCTAAGTTCCATTACAACTATTTCCCCTTAAGCTTTTACACACAGAAGAACAATTAATTTAGAAACACCACTAATGTTTGCCATTACCGTTAACTGGTCTCGGACAGAGTGGTAATGGTGTAGAAGAGATGAATCCACAAGAGAGACAAACGACAGGAACGATTCTCGATCTGTGTGGCTAGAGGAGTGGAACTCCTGGCAGGAGGAGAGAAAAAAACAGTACTGCTGAGCCCATAGGAGGTCAGAAGTCAGTTTTATACAGAAAAATTATATGTGTCATACAGAATTACAGTTGTTTATGTAAAAGAGTGTCTTACGCGGTTCTGAGATATTATGATCTTTGGTGCATTGCCATCTTTCCCACTGCTTAGGAGATCTAATTAAGTAGCATATAAAGCTTATTTTTGCTTAAAAGACTGTCTCATATTAAATGTTTAGGAATCACGTTCTCTCTTTTCTGATTTCCATTAAACACAGCAGTACACTAAATGAAAATGTGAGAGAGGACTTCCTTGGTTGGATGCTCCTAGGCCAAGCAATTCTCTCCCAAGAGAAACCAGGCTGACCCTCTCATCAATATGGGATTATATATTATTCAAAGGGAAGATTCTAAAAAGATTAAAACATTAATTCTATTCGATTTTATTTCTTTTTACTGTTAGTTGACTTGAGTGATACCTTTGGCATTCGTAATACCGAAAGTACCCCTTATCTGAAATGCTTGGGACCAGAGGTCCTCTGAATTTTGGATACCTTGGAGATGAGGCTCAAGTCTAAATATGAAATTCATTTCTGTTTCATATACTTCATATAAACAGAGCCTGAAGATAATTTTATAAAAATATTCTTGTTAATTTTGTGCATGAAACAGTTTGTGTACACTGGCCCACCATAAAGCAAAGGTTTGGATTTCAGAATTCCAGCTAAGGGATCCCCAACTTATAATTTTTCTCCTGAAGGCTCCTTGTCAATTAGAACATTTAAAAAAGTATATAGAATCATAGAGTTGAAAGAGACCTCCAGTCCAACCCCCTGCCAAGAAGCAGGAAAATCACATTCAAATTCCCCCCGACAGATGGCCATCCAGCGTCTGCTTAAAAGCCTCCAAGGAAGGAGCCTCCACCACACTCCGAGGCAGAGTTCTACTGCTCAACATCTCTCTCTCAGTCAGGAAGCTCTTCCTAATATTCAGGTGGAATCTCCTTTCCTGTAGTTTGGAGCCATTGTTCTGCGTCCTCGTCTCCAGGGCAGCATAAAACAAACTTGCTCCCTCCTCCCCGTGACTTCCTCTCACATATTTATACATGGCCATCATGTCTCTTCTCAACCTTCTCTTCTTCAGGATAACATGCCCAGCTCTTACTCCCAATTGGACAGATAAAAACTTATCAGATAAAAACTTATTGTTTTTACTTCTGTGTGTATTGCTGGCAGCTAGTTTTATCTACAGTTGTTTTGCGTTTTAAAATGGAGCAATTTTATGTTATGTGTGTTGGTAGTGGTTGTTGTTATAATTTTATGTGTTACTGTTTTAAACTTATGTACCATTTTATGTTATATGCTGCACCTTGGAGTGCCTTTGTAAACCACTCAGAGTCCCTTTGGGGAGATGGTGGTAGGATACAAATAGAGTTATCATTATTATTACTATTATTCATTACTTGACTGTCTCTTAAGTCAATGGACTCTCAATCTGCTTTGGTCATCTAATAGAAATCAAACTCTTTTTCATTGATTTTATTTAATATAACAAAACACACGTGGCACCCAAGAAGTGTCAAAAAGGAGGTGCTTATTACTCCTGTTCTCAAAATTAGTACCAGAATGTTTCTGATTCTAGAATGGAGGTAGCTTTGACGGAGAAGGAATTAAAGGTATGTAAGACAGTGATGATCGGTTAAAACACCTTTTGCCCCAAAGTAACATGTTTCTGGATGTGCATCTGAATAAAACATGGAGAGCAAAAACATTGTTTTCATTTATTTCTCACCAACAATTTGTGCTAACTATGGAAAGCAGCAACAGTTACTGATTGCTAGCAATTCTTTCCCAATTTTCTGAAGCAATTCCAAAATTTCATTCATTCTGTTGAAGACCTTCAAGAGTTTTTTTTTTTACAGCTTCAAAGGCCAGAAAACTAAGGAAACACTGAACAAGGATACTTCTACACTATTGAACGAATGCACGTCATGGCTCGACACTATGGAATCCTGGGAGTTGTAGTCTGGTGGTGAACGAGCATTCTTTGGCTACAACCCCCATTATTCCATAACAGTGAGCCATGGTAGTCAATGTGGTGTCAAACGGTATTCATTCAATCCACTATGGGTGAGTCTACACTAGAGAATGAACACACAGCTTTTTTTTTCCATGTCAGGAGTGACTGGAGAAACTGCAAGTCACTTCTGGTGTGAGAGAATTGGCTGTCTGCAGGGACGTTGCCCAGGGGACGCCCGGATGTTTTACCATCCTGTGGGAGGCTTCTCTCATGTCCCTGCATGGGAAACTGGAGCTAACAGATGGGAGCTCACTCTGCTCCCCAGATTGAACTGCCAATCATTCAGTCAACAGTTCAGCCAGCACAATGGTTTAACTCACTGCACTATGGGGGGCTCCATGCAATGGAAATCTCAGAGGCCAGTCAGTCAGCAGTTCAGTCAGCAGTTCAGCCAGCACAATGGTTTAAACCACTGCACTATGGGGGGCTCTATGCAATGAAAATCTCAGAGGCCAGTCAGTCAGCAGTTCAGCCAGCACAATGGTTTAACCCACTGCACTATGGGGGGCTCCATGCAATGGAAATCTCAGAGGCCAGTCAGTCAGCAATTCAGTCAGCAGTTCAGCCAGCACAATGGTTTAACCCACTGCACTATGGGGGGCTCTATGCAATGGAAATCTCAGCGGCTAAAGTTTTACAAGATCTACAAATCCCAGAATTCCATAGCATTGAGCTATGGCAGCTAAAGCGATAACAAATGGCATTAAGTTTCCAATGCAGAGTTCTTAGCTTTGCACTTTCACATGTTCACATTTCCAGAATCCGCCAGATGTATACCTTCACTAGCGCATCGACCAGTTGGTCCTTGGAAAAGGGGATGTATCGCTCCCGATAATCAATGGCCCAGTCTTGTGGCTCCGTTGGCTTCCACATCTTCCGATATTTTGCAATCTTGGAAGCCAGGGAAGCCTTGCCTCGGGCAGGCAAGGTGATAACTCCGGCCCCAAGGGCTAACCGTGCCACACACAGCATTTCTAGGAAAGTCCAAAGGTCAAAATAGTCAGAAAACAACAGTGTCTCAAAGTATTTGGCGCCCGTGGCCAAAGTTCTCTTAATCATCGACCCTAACTTGCAAGCAGATGCAGCTGTCATAAAGCTTAGCTTGGAGACATTTTTGCAGCGCACACGTCCTTCAAAGCAGCCAGATCAGAGGTCATTTAAGGCTGAGCCAAAACAGAAAAACCTGGGATTTGCAAGGCAAAGGACACTTTTGACCAGCTTTTTGCTGAAGCAGCTGTCTCCAAGGGCCCAGGGTTGTGATGCAACACACAGCCACCCCCCAGAAATCCAGATGGCCCTCTCCCAAAATTGTAAATTAACTAGACAGGATGCAAAGGGTGGAAATTTAAAGAATATATATGCACCAAATTGGTTGGACTGATGAGGCTGAAAAGGCAAATGCTGGCATCCATGTCCCCAACCAACTTACAGATTAAGCAGTTACTTCTTCTTCTTCGGGCAAATAAATATATATATATAAGATTCACCTTCGGCCCGATTAGCCACTGAAAAAGCAACAAGCTCTAACCTTAAAATAGGCAAGGACTATTATTGACTTGTCTGCGCATGCGCACGAGTTCCTGTTTCCCTCTTCCGCCCTTTTCCTTTGATGGCGTTTCATTCGCTCTCCAAAACGTCTGCCCGCCTTTTCATCCCTTACTGCGCATGCGTGACCGCAAATTCTTTGAACGCCTTCTGTGTTGACTACTTCTGTGGCTACATTATATTATTAGAGTTCTAAAATACAGATAATAGTTCTTAGTGGATTTATTAAAGTCTCGTACATAGTGGCATCCTTCTCCTTGAATAGCTTGTCACTCTGTCCTTTTACTATCACTATGTTTAAATCACTAGAGTATAAAAAATGCGCAGGCGCAATGCGCTCCTTTTCTTCCCTGCGGTTTTTTAACACTACGCATGCGCACAAGTCCTGGATTCTTATCAAAACTAGGTATGGAAATATGCCTACCAAAAAAAGTCTCCGCCCGCCGCGCATGCGCAGATCGATCCTGGCCTCGCGTGCCCAGAGCGCGCTCTCCCTCCCCTCCCCCCAGCCAGTCTTTAACCGTTATTTTCAACTGCCATCAGAGGCACGTTCTAAAAAGTGACGTAAGCAAGCTTCCAACCAATCAGGCCTCGAGTTCTCTCTCTCTCTCTCTCTCTCGCGCGCGCTCTCTCGCCGAGCGGGGGGAAGGGCGAACTGTAAAAAGGCGGGAAAAATACATGTATGTGTGTTAAGTGGAGTTTGTGAAGGAAGCCATAAGCTGAGAAGCACCAATAACAGTGTATTGACATTCTGTTTCTCTGGAGTGTGTGTCCAAAGTTAAGCCCCTTGAGGTTACATTATGTACATTACTTTGAAGGACTGAGCATAGTGTGCATGTACACCAGGCATGGGCAATTTTGGGCCCTGTAGTTGTTTTGGACTTCAACTCCCACCATTCCTAACAGCCTCAGGCCCCTTCCTTTTCCCCCTCAGCCGCTTAAGCGGCTGAGGGGGAAAAGGAAAGGTCCTGAGGCTGTTAGGAATGGTGGGAGTTGGAGTCCAAAACAACTACAGGGCCCAAAATTGCCCATGCCCGATCTACACTGTATAATTCAGTAAATATGTGGCACATCAGGTCCTTGAACCCATCTCTCCCTCCTCTAGGCTCAACACTACACTAATTTGTACTTAAAACAAGAAATAAAAGCACAAGGGATTCACACTTAACCATGGTGTTTAAGAAAGAGACAGGTCACCATGTTACTTCTCCTTCTGTGGTGAAGTAAAAGCGTCCAGCAGAGTGGCTAATTTCTTATTGCCTTGTTGTGAAGACAGAGAAGAAAGGTTCACTCCAGGCCTATTCAGTTGAGATAATGGAAACAGCAGGGATAAACTTTATAATGAGGCCAGGGAACATAACCTGTGTGATATTTCATTGTCTAATGAGGCCTAAGCTGGAAATGCGAAGCTTTCGTGGACATAAATTGTTTTCAAACAGAGGGGAAATAGCAGATTCTTAAGGGAAATGGTTACATTTCGGCATGAAACAAAATAAGTTGATTATGGCCAACTTAGCTACTTGGGGTTCCCAATGGGTGAAGTTATCTTTCAATAAGCTGTTTTCCCTCTTTATCACAATAAATGTTGATTGTAGCTTAACTAGTTAGGTTTCGGCATGAAACAAAATAAGTTGATTATGGCTAACTTAGCTACTTGGGGTTCCCAATGGGTGAAGTGTATCTTTCAATAAGCTATTTTCCCTCTTTATCACAATAAATGTTGATTGTGGCTGACTTAGGGTTCTCGGTGAGATGTGTCATTCAATACGCTCTTGGCCATGTTTCCTGAGGAAATTCTCGGATTTCTTTACTATGGCATTAGGATTTATTTATTTAGTATTAAAAGCATGGCATAAATAAATAAGTTTAAAACTGATAAAATAAAGGGGTCACAATCGGCTAAATAGTTTTACACCAAGAACAGGCAACAGCGACGTTATTGTCTGTATATTGTCAAAGGCTTTCATGGCCAGAGTCACTGGGTTGTTGTAGGTTTTTTGGGGCTATATGGCCATGGTCTAGGGGCATTCCTCCTGACGTTTTTCGCCTGCATCTATGGCAAGCATCCTCAGAGATTCTTGCTATAGATGCAGGCGAAACGTCAGGAGAGAATGCCTCTAGACCAGGGGTCCTCAAACCAAGGCCCGGGGGCCGGATACGGCCCTCCAAGGTCATTTACCTGGCCCTTGCTCAGGGTCGACCTAAGTCTGAAAGCACACAACAACAACAACAATCCTATCTCATCAGCCAAAAGCAGACCCACACTTCCCATTGAAATTTCTTTAAATTGTTCTTCATTTTAATTATTGTATTGTTTTAAAGTGTTTTTTGCACTACAAAAAAGATATGTGCAGTGTGCATAGGAATTCATCCATGTTTTTTTCAAATTATAATCCGGCCCTCCAACAGTTTGAGGGACTGTGACCTGGCCCTCTGTTTAAAAAGTTTGTGGACCCCTGCTCTAGACCATGGCCATATAGCCCGAAAAAACCTACAACAACCCAGTTATTGTCTGTAGTTTGAAATGGTTCTTCCTCTGTGCATGAGGCAGGACATTATGGGCAAGCATACAGGTGTTGAGTTGTTTGTTATGCTCCACAGTCCACAGGGAACATAGCCTGCGTAATGTTTAATTGTCTAATGAGGCCTAAGCTGGAAGCACGAATCTTTCATGGACATACATTGTTTTCAAACAGAGGGAAATGCCAGATTCTTAAGGGAAATTGTTACATTTCGACATGAAACAAAACTTAGACCTCACAACCTCTGAGGATGCTTGCCATAGATGCAGGCGAAACGTCAGGAGAGAATGCCTCTAAAACATGGCCAGATAGCCCAAAAAAACTTACAACAACCCAAACCTTAGCTAACTTAGCTACTTGGGGTTCCCAATGGGTGAAGTGTAACATTCAATAAGCTGTTGTCCCTTTTTATCACAATAAATGTTGATTGTGGCTAACTTAACTTAGCTTTCTCGGTGAGATGTGTAATTCAATACGCTGGTGTCCCTGTTGGCCATGTTACCTGAGGAAATTTTCAGATTTCTTTACTGTGGCATTAGGATTTATTTATTTATTTAGTATCAAAAGCATGGCATATATAAATAAGTTTAAAGCTGATAAAATAAAGGGGTCACAAGCAGCTAAATCATTTTAGACCAAAAACGGGAAACAGCAACTGCGTTGTCTGTAGCTTTAAACAGTTCTTCCTCTGTGCATGAGGCAGGACATTGTGGGCAAGCATACAGGTGTTGAGTTGTCTGTTATGCTCCACAGTCCACAGGGAACATAGCCTGCGTAATGTTTAATTGTCTAATGAGGCCTAAGCTGGAAGCGCGAATCTTTCATGGACATAAATTGTTTTCAAACAGAGGGAAATGCCAGATTCTTAAGGAAAATTGTTACATTTCAACATGAAACAAAACTTAGACCTCACAACCTCTGAGGATGCTTGCCATAGATGCAGGCGAAACGTCAGGAGAGAATGCCTCTAAAACATGGCCAGATAGCCCAAAAAAACTTACAACAACCCAAACCTTAGCTAACTTAGCTACTTGGGGTTCCCAATGGGTGAAGTGTAACATTCAATAAGCTGTTGTCCCTTTTTATCACAATAAATGTTGATTGTGGCTACCTTAACTAATTAGCTTTCTTGGTGAGATGTGTCATTCAATACGCTGTTGTCCCTGTTTTCCATGTTTCCTGAGGAAATTCTCAGATTTCTTTACTGTGGCATTAGAATTTATTTATTTAGTGTGAAAAAAGCATTGCATAAATAAATAAGTTTAAAACTGATAAAATAAAGGGGTCACAAGCAGCTAAATAGTTATACACCAAAAACAGGCAACAGCGACGTTATTGTCTGTAGTTTGAAACAGTTATTCCTCTGTGCACGAGGCAGGACATTGTGGCCAAGCATACAGGTGTTGAGTTGTTTGTTCTGCTCTACAGCCCATAGGGAACATAACCTGCATAATGTTTCATCGTCTAATGAGGACTAAGCTGGAAGCGCTAAGCTTTCGTGGACATAAATTGTTTTCAAACAGAGGGAAATGCCAGATTCTTAAGGGAAATGGTTACATTTCGGCATGAAACAAAACTTCGCTGGCTTAGCTACTTGGGGTTCCCAGTGGGTGAAGTGTAACATTCAATAAGTTGTCCACCCTCTTTATCACAATAAATGTTGATTATTGCTAACTTAACTACTTAGGATTCTCGGTGAGATGTGTCATTCAATACGCTGGTGTCCCTGTTGGCCATGTTTCCTGAGAAAATTCTCAGATTTCTTTACTATGGCATTAGGATTTATTTATTTAGTATCAAAAGCGTCACATAAATAAATAAGTTTAAAGCTGATAAAATAAAGGGATCACAAGCAGCTAAATCATTTTAGACCAAAAATGGGAAACAGTAACTGCGTTGTCTGTAGCTTTAAACAGTTCTTCCTCTGTGCATGAGGCAGGACATTGTGGACAGGCATACAGGTGCTGAGTTGTTTATCTGCTCCACAGTCGCACAAGGTGGAGGATTTTTCTAGGTGGTGCCATTTTGCCAGGTTGTCTTTTGATCAGCCAACTCCTCTTCTGAGTCTGTTGAGGGACTTCCAAGATGCCCATTGTTGGTTTGCCCCTGGAGGAAGACCCTCGTGGGGGGCAATCCAGTTGAAATTGCCTGATTTTGCTATCCACAGGGATATTTTTGCTGTTGCTGAGGAATATTAAAAAAGGAGGGAAGTGACTTGGTATACTATAATAACAACAACAACAACAACAATAACAACAACAACAAGCTTTATTTATATCCCACCCCCCTCTCCTCAAAGGGACTCAGGGTGGCATACAACAGAGAAAACACAGTTGTATAATAATACTCAACAACCAAATTAACAAAATTCATCAACCAACATATACATACTATGGTATATTTGTCAGAGTTTAATTGGCTTGACTTTCATTTTGCCTTAGTGGGCAGATTAGAGGTTGATGACTGTGGCCCCTTCCACACTGTCCCTATATCCCAGGATCTGATCCCAGATTATCTGTTTATTCCAGATTATCTCGCAGTGGAAACTCGTACAATCCAGTTTAAAGCATATAATCTGGGATCAGATCCTGGAATACAGGGACTGTGGAAGGGTCCTGAATACCAGGGTGGAAGCATATTATAGGTATTATAGGTTTGTTTACTTTTTGAATTTTCAAATGTTGATAGAATCTGAGGACCCTTCTAGGGCCCTTCTACACAGCCCTATATCCCAGAATATCAAGGCAGAAAATCCCACAATATCTGCTTTGAACTGAGTTATCTGAGTCCACACTCAAATTATTTATTTATTTATTTAAAACATTTATATTTTGCCCTTCTCACCCCAAAGGGGACTCAGGGCAGAATACAGCATATATACAGCAAACATTCAATGCCAGGGCATAATATGGTTCAATACATACGTAAACATTAAAAACATTTGTCTCAATATTAAAATACACTGTTTAAAAACCATCTTGATCATCTATGTCTAATCTAATTGGCCTGGTAAGGTATTGCTGCTTTATTTCACTGTTCCCAAAGCTTGGTCCCACAGACAGGTTTTTACCATCCTTCTAAAGGACAGGAGGGAGGGGGCTGATCTGATCTCACCAGGAAGGGAGTTGCATAGCTGAGAAGGCCCTCTCTCTCATCCCCACCAATCGCCCCTGTGGCAATGGTGGGATGAAGAGCAGGCCGTTTGTACAGGTAAATTGGACCAGGTCCGTTTGTGGCTTTATAGGCCAAAGCCAGCACTTTGAATTGTGCCTGGTAGCAAACTGGCAGCCAATGTAGCTGGCGTAACATGTGGGATTTCCTGCTTTCATATTCTAGGATATAGGGCTGTGTGGAAGGGCCCCAAGACAGGCCCTATATCCAAGGATCAGAGCCCAGGTTTTCTGTTTATCCCAGATTTTTTGGCAGTGCAGACTCATATAATCCAGTTTAAAGCAGAAAACCTGGGATAAGATCCTGAGATATAGGGCCTGTCTGAAAGGTCCCTAAGTGGGGCTTGTATGATATTCTTCTAGTTATTAATGATCACCAATTTCCATTCCCAGAAGCCCTCAAGATCCAGCTTTGTCCTAGTGACAGAAGAGCAACTACATGATGAGGAGGCTGGTTACTGCTTTGAAGGACTTTGCGGATAATGACATAGTGCACTTCCTTACAAGACCTCAGATCATTGCTAGAATCCTAGCAGCGGTGAGGAGAAAAATACTAAACAGCATCTTATGATTTCTGTATAATGGAATTCATATAAAAATTGGTTTTATTTTTAATCCTCCAAATCACAATTTCAGTATTCACACAAATTTTGGAGGAACATCTTCGAATTCTAGACTAGAGCATTAACAAAGTTATTGTTGTTCCATAACTGCATCAATAACTACAATTTGTGTGCAAACCTCCATACAATCTAAGAGATATACATTTTTTTATTTCCACCTAAGATGCAATTCCATGGCTTTTAGGCCGCAGCTGAATAAAATCCCACATTTTCTGCTTTGAACTGGACTATATGGCAGTGTGGACTCAGATAACCCCGTTCAAAGCAGATATTGTGGGATTTTCTGCCTTGAGTTATATGGCTGTGTGGAAGGGCCCCTAGAAAGCAGTTTTGCTTGATGCTACAATTGTGGGCTTATTACCTAGAACATATTTCTATGAGTGCATCTATACTGTGTAGAATGTAGTTTGATACCACTTTAACTGCTATACCTCATCTATAGCATTTTGGGAGTTGTGGTTTGATGAGGCACCAGGCCTTTAACAAAGAGGAAAGACTTTGCAAGACTAAGATTTTCAGGATGTCATAGCATTGAGCCATGGCAGTTAAAGGGGTATCAAACTGCATTCATTTTGCAGTGTAGATCAGGCATGGGCAAACTTTGGCCCTCCAGGTGTTTTGGATTTCAACTCCCACAATTCTAACAATACAACTGCTTGCCTACGTTGGAAGAGAACCCCAAGTTTTAACTTGTGGTATGTTTTGGTTACATTTGCCTAACTCTCCAACACACATGCACAGCTATTTGGTAGACTGTGATTTAGCTATGGAGCAGATGCATGATGGGAATAACTTCTACCATGCCTTCTTCCCATTTTCAGTGATAAAATCAGATTAAGTAACGGCTGTTTGTTAATCTGACTGGAATGTGACTTGAATTGGGAAGATGATAAATGGAAAGAAATTCTGTTCAAATCCACACTCCCTTTTTGCCAAGCTAATTTACATAACTCTAAATGGGATGCAGAGAAGAGGACTCAAGTCCTGGCCTTGCCCCAAATTTTCTTCAGCCTTGCCCACAGCCGGTACGTAATCCCCAACCTACCATACATGGCTCTTAAAAGAATAAATGTTTGCTCACATCTGATATGAGCATTAGCATGTTATAAAGGTAGGGTGAGAAAGCTATTAAAAAGGCAGATTCTTATGGTATTCCAGCACCTTTCAGGTTTTAACTTTTCTTATTTCCTCTTGTCCTAGGTATTCTCTCTGATAATCTTTGCTTGTTTGGTGGCTGAAGGATATCAGAACTTGACAACCTCTTCCCAGTTACACTGTATTTTGAATGATAATGGGGCAGCCTGCTGCTATGGCATCACAGTGGGTGTACTCTCCTTTCTTCAGTGTCTCCTCTTTTTGGGCTTTGACATCTATGACACTTCAATTTCAAATCACAAGTTCAAGTATGCTATCCTTGTACTGGATGTTACCTTCTCCAGTGAGTAAACAATTTTAATACCAAAGCAATAGAGCAGATTTTGGTATGTGTGATTTGCTAATAGGTGAGAGTCTGAAACAATTATATGGTGCTCATCCTTGTGCTGGTCATAGGCCATAATATATCATTGATTGATTGGTGCTCATTCAAATCAGTGCCTTCTGCTGTGAGTAAAATAATCATTCTGATGGCAGAAAAGAGTGATACAAGAGAGGGTTAACTTTCATTGCCAGCATTCTTCCCCATTCTACAAACCAGGATAGCTGTTCTTCACACCCTTCCTTGCTTTTCCCCTTCTTAGCCCAATTAGCCTCCCTAGAAGAAATCTTCTGTTATTTACTTTATTGGCCTAGTATTATAAGCAAGCAGCAATTACAAAGCAGTTGTGGGACAGTACCCACATAGGTCCTGAGGCCTGTGCTTGAGGAGGGGAGTCACTACAGCTATTCTTAGTCCTGGATTTCAGACATATGAGGTACTAAGGAGAGAAGAAATTCTTGGTTTCTTGGGAACTCTCCATTTTTGAGCATGTGTCATAACACATCAGTATGTTGTCTGCATTGTGTATGTTGTGTCATGCGACCATAAAGAGAAATCTCTGAGGCTATGTGAACTAAGCTATAAATTATATATTTGTAAAAATATAAAAGAAAGATATTCATGAGATATGTTGTGTCCCATACATTTTGTTATTACAATTTACCGGTATGTATGAATCCATATCTCCTATAAGGGGTTAGTGTAATCTTTGCTAGTCAAACTGAATTACTGTTTCGCGAAATAATGCATATCTAAAAAGTGAGTTACTTACCAGCATTAAATGTTTGGAAAGCTCTGCTCTAGTTCCTACTGGTCAAACCTGTGAGGACATATAATTTGTTCCCCTGATCCAAAAACTTCACTAATAATAGCTAATAATGCAAGATGTTTCCATGCTTCCTTAATGACTACAAAAAATATTTGTTGACGTATATTTTACGCAACAGTACCATTAGTTTTGTTTTCAACTGAAAACCTAGTAAAGCAGTTATTATTTCTGCTGAAGTATTTTTTAGATTCTGTGCATTGATACATACTGATTTTGCAACACCCACATTAATTGCAATTGACCCTTTAATTTTTGGACAATATAAAGCTCCATTTCCAACTGAATACAAAATTCTTTGGAATCATAGTTTCCGCATGTTCTCAAAGTTAATTGCCACTATGGAATTTGAAAGAGGACAGATTCTCCATCATCATCTCCACTTAATGCCCAGAGAGACTCCTGTACTTTCTGAAACCGTAAACAACTACTGCCAGTCAATGTACACTACACTGAATTAAATAAAGGAGAGTCTGTCAGTTTATTTTTCTATAAAACACCAAGTAGCAGAAGGGAACATGTGCTACTTATATCCCAGGATAAAAGACAACAGAGTGGAATATCATTCTCTATTTAAAATAGTAATCTAAAAGATGACAGCTTAACTCTCTGGAAATGGTTGTAATGTTGCTGCTTTATTTCAAACATTCCTTATTCCCCCACCCCAACCCTGTAATGGATCTAAAATAGTGTTGCTAATGGGTACAGGCTTCTTGTTTTGTTTTGTTTTTTTAGTATTGTATTGTGATATTGTTCCTCTGCCTGTTGTCTCATCTCTGGAGACGGACACTGAGCTGAAGGGCTCACAAAAGACAAGAGGCAACACATGGAGTCAGAGAAGGAGCAATCAGGATATACCATTTTTACACAAAAGACTGTCGTTTCCATGTGCTATCTCACTCATTGATATTGTGCTTTATTTGACAAGCTTGATCACAGGAAAGGGATGTCTCAAGCAGAGGCAATGAATTGGCTTTTCAAGCACTGACATTTGCTAACATATGAGAGCTCAGTGCCATTGCAGCCTGGCAAAATTAAATGCCACTGACACATCTCATCTGGTTTCATTCTCCATCTGCATTCCCTGTAAAGGATATCCCCCCACCTTCTTTCAAGTTAAGCTATCAAGAACATTGCCTGTAAACTCACTGCCCTCAGGCTTTAATCAATAAGGCTATTAATTTTAAGTACTCACAGAAGAAGAGAAAAATATTTCTCTTTCAATATCTCTATTTGCCCAGATACTACATTCATTACTACATTTTAATCCCATTCTTGTTCAGGGACCTCATCTTGCAAAAACAAGGTGCCAGTCTCTTTTTCTTTTTATCTTTCACAGTGACTCACATAGGCATTGTGATTTACCCAGATTATCTTTTAGGTTTTTACCTGAGCAGAGACTTGAATTGAGTCTTCCTCTTTCAAAACAACATACTATTCCATTACTACCTTGGCATTACTTTTATTTTGTGTACTTCAATAGTAGCACTGTTGCTAGTTGGGTTGGTTTCTCATACCAGGCAGTCTTTTACTGAGGAGCCAGACAAAATGGCCAAATAGTCACTGGGTAGCCACTACTATTGTGTGTGAGCGAGAGTGAGAAAGAGTGATTGACAGAAGGTATTTCAAGAGACAATGATTGTGGCGCTTTCATTAACCCTTATTAGTCTTTGCAGAGGAAAGCAACAGTCGACCACTTCTAAATTGGTTCTGTCATGATAGTCCAATGATGAGGTAATCTAAAATGAAACAAGAAGTAGTGCCATAATTTGATATTTCCCGATTGAAAGGCAGTCAACCAGCTACTACATGTACAATAGAAGCAGTGCTGTGTCTAATAACACAATTGAATTTAGGAAAAAATAAAGCTTAACTGCTGATTTGTGGTGAAAAATACAATTTTTTAAAAGAGTATAGATTATGATAAATTATGGTCCACACTAAAAGAAATTGAGTGCTACAACATCTGATTCCCTTGGTGCATAGTACACATTCTGGACAGGAGGCCCCTGTCAAGGCAGAATATGTAAAAAAAGAAAAGAAAAGAAAAGAATGGTTTTCCATTGGAAAAGAACCATTCTTGTTTAATTTATACACTGATCATATGATATGGAAAGCAGGAATACGTTCAGAGGAAGCAGTAATAAAAATTGGGGGAAGGAACATCAACATTTTAAGATATACAGATAAAACTGTATTACTGTACTTGCAGAAAATAGCAAAGACCTGGAATGATTACTGGTGATAATTAAGGGGAAAGTGCAAAAGCAGGGTTACAGCTGAATATTAAGAAAACAAAAATAATGGCCACAGGTGGTTTATGTAATTTTCAAGTGGATAACAACAACAGCATTGAAATAGCTCATTTCTTATATCTTGGCACAATCATTAATCAAAATGCAGATTGGACTCAGGAAACCAGAGGACAAATAAGATTTGGAAAAGCAGCCAAGAAGGAACTAGATAATATCTTCAAGTATAGAGACATATTGAGAGAAGTGAGAATCAGCCAGACCACAGCACTGTACAATATTTCTAGTTTCTATGTATGATTGTGAAACCTGGAAATTTAAGAAACCCAAAAGGAAGATGGTCAACTAATTTGAAATGTAGTATTGGAGAAGAGTTATACAGATAAATGAAAAGACAAATGGGTCTAAGAGCAAATCAGATCTGAAATCTTTGATTGTGTTTTTCCTGCATGGTGGGGTTTAGTTTAGATGTCCCATGTGGTCTCTTCCAACTCTATTATTTTATGATTCTAGAATAAAAGATGACTATAAGCTGAGGCTGCCTTAATTTGCACACCACAAGATGAGGCATGGGCAAACTTTTGGACTTCAACTCTCATAATTCTTCCGGTAAACTGGCTGGGATTTCTGGGAGTTGAAGTCCAAAACACCAAGAGGGCCAAAGTTTGTCCATGCATGCACAAAATGTATAAATCACTAAGGGGTTGGGGGGGGGGGGGGGGAATAATGCTTGGTAAAGTGGAAAGCAGTAGGAAAACAGTAAGATTTACTCAGTTAAGGAAGTTGTGGCCCTAAGTTTGTAAAACCGGTCCACCTCTGAGCCCAATTCAAAGTGCTGGGTTTGACCTATAAAGCTCTGTACAGTTCTGGCCCAGCTTACTTGTCCGAACGCATCTGCCTCTACGTCCCATCTCGCAATCTAAGATCATCCGGGGAGGCCCTGCTCTCGCTTCCATCAACATCGCAAATGCATTTTGCGGGGACGAGAGACAGGGCCTTCTTGGCTGTGGCTCCCCGCCTATGGAATGCACTCCCAAATGAAATACGATCAACTCCATCCCTCCTGGCCTTCAGAAAAAAATGAAAATCGTGGTTTTGGGACCAGGCCTTCAGGAAGCAGACGTAATTTGCACCATAATGGACATTGATTCGAATGGCATTGTGGCAGATGACATTGGGACTTAGTTTTATTGTTTAAATTAATGTTATATGTATTGGTTTTAATTATTGTTTTGTATTTGATTGTGTTGTATTATTGTAATTGTGATGCAGTGGTCTTGCACCGTTACTAATGTAAGCCGTCCTTCGGGGATTGAGAAGAGAACGGGGTACAAATGCCAGTAATAAATAAATAATAAATAAATAAAACCTGAGCAAGACCATTAATAACAGAGCATTTTGGAGGTCTCATTCAGTGTCATAAGTCCAAATCAACTTGATGGCACATAACAGAGACAAGTAGTGTAGACGCACCAGAACAGCTTTTCTGTCATTAAAACTATTTCCTAGTTTTACCTGCCTGTTCCCATAACTTTGCCTCTTTAAATATGTCCAGGAACACACCCATTCCTAAATGATTCTATTGGTTTGATATCCAACAAACTGATGTAATAACATTTTGGGGTTTTTTTTTGTAACTGTCTCTTTATTTCAAAACTGAATGGTATTTAATTAAGTGAAACAGAGTTAAAGCACATCAAAATTAAATAAGTTCCACAGTGCAAATATAAATTTCTGCAAAAGCTGAACATACAGTACATGTCCCTGAGCTGATGCTACAAAATGTGTTAGGACAATATAGTCTCATGTTAAAGTAAAATCTCTAGCAAAGATTAGGAGGTACAGATAATATATATATAATAATATAAACTTTATTTATATCCCACCACCATCTCCCCGAAGGGACTCCGGGCGGCTCACAATAGTACTGCGACAAAAACAGCATACATTTACATAACAGCATTCATTTGCATAAAAGCAACATACATTTGCGAAGTATTCTATCTTCAGTTCTCTCACCTAAGAAACATTTGACATGTGCCACACTAAAGACAGGGCATTTGGATGTCTGGAGCATAGACTGGTGTGCTGCAGTTTGGCAGCTTTTCCTTCTATCTTATTGTTCAGCAGCTTAAAAAGGCAAAATCTCTTTGTAATGCACCTGCCAACTGTGCTGTGTTGTTTGTTTTAGAGGATGATAACGCTTCTGATTCTCAAAAGGTAGTCAGTTTATCCATGAATGGAGGAGCTTGATTAAATTTACTTTGCTGGCTCTGTTCTGAGGACAGGGGAGCTATAATGTTGCTGCTTCTGTAGTTTAGAGCAAGCTCATCAATTGCTCACTGTGAGATAATTGACTTGCTATGAGAATTTCTCACATAGGTACAATATAAAATTTTAACAAAGTTTTAATTGGGAAGAAAATGTACATAAGCTACACTGTCATGTAAGAAGAGAATGATAGCACAACTAGATGATATAGAATAGATCCAACATCAGGCTCTCTTGTACTTTTTTTAAAGTATGGGGCTGTGGTCTACGGTCTCATTACTGGAGGGGCAAGGTGATCTGTATTTTTCTTACTTAAACTGCTTATTCTTTACTTCAGTTCTGGGAATTTTGAAAAGAGATACTGACACAAAAGGGGTTACACCTATTATTTCCCAGGGACAGGGAAGTCACGTATCTTCTAGGACACTGCTTAAATTGTGGGTCCTCACTCCAATTGTGGGGTCCCCTTAGCTCAGTACTGAGAACCCAGAAAATTTAGCAACAGTAAAAGTTTTCTGGATGTAGCCAAGTGGCGGTTTTATACATTTAAACAAATCTGTTGTACAGTGTTTACTAGGGTTGGATAGGTTCGTTCAGAAGAGCCTAAAAGTCGTAAAAAACTCTGACTTTTGACTTTCAAAGCAGTTTTGAACCATGCAAGAAAGGTGGGAGGGGCAAATTTGAATTTGAACTTACCTTTTTTTTCCCGGAAAAAATCCATAAAGTTCAGATGTCTCCCAAGGTTATATTAATTTTCACAACCATTAAGCAACTTTGGTAAAGCCTAAACAGTTTTAAAATCTCGTGGCTTCCCTTCCCCGGTGATACAAAGAGGGATGAGGTGGGCGTGGCTAAGCACAGCCATTGTTGTAGTTTGTGAAGGTCAGGCCCCCAATCCTAGAGATTGCAAAAGGCTCTGCTGTTAAAATTCCCTCACTGCCTTGCTGCTCATTAGCCAAAATGGATAAAGGACCTCTGTAGCGCAATAGCTGTCTGTAACAGTCTTCGTCTAAATGTAAAATAAGCTGATTGAATCTACAAAGTTGTCTAAAGAAAAGGCAGCAAAGCAATAAGAAACCCTAATCCTTTCTTTTTCTGTCATCCCTGCAATAAAGATACATGTCCACCACAAAAAGGAAGCCTCCATGACACCCCACACCTTCCTTTTCGGCAAAACATGTGCATTGGCTCCCCATGCCCTGCGTTCTGATGTTTGCCATTATTTGCCACCATTTGCCATGATTTTTCCTTTTTGCCATTTTTCCCTGGCAGGGATCGAACTCACGACCTCCTGGTTCTGGGGGCGGTATGCTCTCCGAGTCACCAACTGCCCTGTAGCAAGTAACAATTCGGAACTTATACTTATTCACTTCCCAGCAGGAAAGAAGGGGGGTCAGTCTAGATGTCCCTTGATGGGGTCTGTATATGATTTCTGTTCTCCACCAATTTAACACAGGTTGTGCCACACAGAGTTTCTGGACTAGAACAACTACTTTCAAAGTAAAGACCACCCAATGAAACAGGAAATAAAACTTTCAATCCAGGAACAGATTTTCTTTATTATTAAAAATGTTTTTTATAAAAACTTTGAAATTTTTTCCCTGGCAAGGATCAAACTCAGGAGCTCCTTGTTCTGGGGGTGGTGCGCTCTCTCAGGGACCCACCGACTGCTCTGCAGCAAATAGCAATTTGGAATTTACACTTATTCACTTCCCAGTGGGAAGTTGGGTCAGTCTATAAAAACTTTTTATAAAAACTTTGAAAATTCACCAAAAATCAATTGATAACTCAAAAGTGATGAAATTTGGTGAGCTAACAATGGTCCATGTGTTCTACCACTGTAACAAGTTTAATCAGGATTGGTCTAAAAATGAGAGAGGGAGAATCCCCTGAAGTTTCCCTAGTGCCAGTGCTGTTTTTTTCCTACTGCGCATGCGTGTCTGCCGTTAATGAAACAATTCGGAAGTTTCAGAAAGTTTGAGATTTTTTAAAAAATTCAGAAGTGACTTTAGAATCGAACCACCAGTGCCCCCGAAATCTGAAACGAGTTTTGAACCATGTCTTTTTGGATCAACCAAGCCGAGTGTTTACAGTGAACTCTGCGAAAATGTTTCAGCTGTATGTTATAAAAAGGAAAATCAGCCTGTTTAGCAAGCCTTGTAAATGCTTATTTGTTATCAGGAAAAGTATTGTTTTTATACCTATTTTATATACCTATATACCTAGAGTCATATAACCCAAAAGAAATTTAAGAAGCCCAGTTGTAGAGAATTGTTAGCTCCATTCTTTTTGTCTTTGAGTTGAGGGTCCAGTCTCCTTGCTCAGGAAGTTGGGCATTTATTTGCAAGAATGTTTTTTTTAAACAATCTACCCTGTTACCAAAGAGAAAATGTGTTTTATGTGAGGGGAAGCAAACCAAGGGGAGGCAGTGCTATAGCCCTGGAAGATCAGGTGTTTGTTTTCTTCAGGTTGTTCCCCACTTCAAATCATCTAAGCTTCAACATAGATACAGGCAGTCCCTGAGTTACAAATGACTCATAGTTACAAACGGGGGTGAGACAACAGGAAGTGAGAGCTAAATTCACTCCTGAAAGGGTTTTCATGGAGAAAAGGGGTCTCCACAGAAGCTTTATAATTCATCCTTGTTTCCACAAGTCAATATTTTCAAAACCCAATTATCAAAGAGACAGAAGTGAGGTGTAATCTTCTAAACAGGGACACAGACAGCAAAACAAACACAACAGGGGCGTTAACCCTTGCCTTTGCTATCCAAAGCTCTCAGTCTATCAGTGTATCATCTATCTACCGTACCTATCTTATTGGCTGGAGTTACACTTAAAATGTACTAGTTCCAATTTACAAACAAATCCATCTTAAGAACAAGTTTACAGAATCTATCTTGTTTGTAGCTTCGGTACTTGCTGCACACTACAGTATGAACCCTGGGGTTAAAGTTTTCTCAGCTCCGCGTGCCTGGGTATCTGTATTGCAGCAGGCAAGCCTAGCTTCAAACTGCATTAAATGGTCTTTAAGAGGAAAGTGGCAACAATCCTCTTAAAGACCCATGAATTTGTCACCTTTCTAGGACTAGCATTTATTTTATTTGGCATTGTTCCTTTTTTCAGAAATATCCAAAAGAAAATAAAATGTAAACTGTTAGAAAGGATATGACTGAAAAGTAAAGACTTAGACTTGTGAATGTTGTCTTCCACAAACTACATGAAAGGGGCTTGCTGGGACTTGTGACTTCATTTATCTTCTCAGCTATTTGTAATACAGTCTATTCTCTATTTTTCCTTTCCAGTCATCTGGACATGCCTGTGGTTTGTTGGGTTCTGTTTTCTAGCCAATCAGTGGAACAGGTCGACACATTCCTACCTGCTGGGAACTAGTGCTGCACGAGCATGCATCGCCTTTGCTCTCCTCTCGGTTCCATGCTGGGTGAGTCAGTCAAGTACTCTTCTTTTAAATTCTAGAGTAGAGAACTTCTACAGAGTTAGCCATGGAGGCAAAGTGTGCCTCTTAAGTGTCAATAAAAGAAAAACAGACATCAGAACCAAAATTGACCTTCCCTGAAAACAGTTGGCCCTAGACATTAAAACTAATGAGATGATCATAAAAGGGCAGTTATTTCTTTCTATGAATTGAATGTCCCCTCTCCTTAAATGCTGTATGAACAGCATAATCCTCTCTATATATAAACACTACAACTGATCACATGCAATACTATTTTGCATGTGATCTAGAATTTATACATTTTGAGTGGCTGGCATTAATCAGTGTTAGATTTTGTGTTATAGAAAACAAGACAAAAATAATACTTAAAGGTGTTTTAGTATAATTGTATCAGCTGGTGGTAGCAACTAATTTTTGAGTAGCACTGGATAAAGCAACTGAATTGTCTAATTTATTTAGAAGAAGGAATTAAAATTATTTAGAAAAGACAAATAAACTGAAATGTGCAGATTGGCAGTGCCTGGCCAGACATACTATCTTGAGCAATGTAAACAGAGCAATAGGACTTGATCCTTAGTCCTATTTTGGTTAGATTCATTGTAACAATTGCTGCCTTTGCCCATGTTTACTCTGGATAAGGCAGTTATTAAATTGTAATAATTTCAAAATATTTTATTTAAAAAACTGTATACTGTAGTGGTATTTGTTAAGTGTGGGAATCTAGGTGTGTGCCTCACTATTCCCCATGCAGTGGATCAATGGCACAAAGTTTGTTTAAAGTACGCAGTTCTAAATAAGGGTAGAGAAGATATTAAGGGAGGCCTGTAAAGCATGTAAATCCATAGAGCATTACCAGTATTAGGCCAAGGGGAAGAGATAAGAGTTGATAGAAAAAGACATTTCCCCCCAAAAAGTGCATTCCATGTTTCAGTTTGAGTGGAGAGTTCTGCTCCTAGAAGTATTCACATTTATTAATGTTCAGCAAACGGAGGGAAACTGCATCCTATAGGCTGCATGCAGCCATTAGAGCTGTCCAAATTGTTTGAATTTTTGCCACCAGATTTCCCAAAGAGTGGGTGCAATTTGAATGGCAAAATGACTCTTGACACCTCCTAAATATTTGGGAGTTTAAAGAAAACATATCAAATTTTGGTATATGTGTAGTTCTCTCTTCCAAAGGAGTGCAATACAGTGCCCTAATTCCTGACATTTGCCCACCCTGGTCTAGTGAATTGGGGGGGGGGGGGAACGGGACACTGTTCCACCTTCCAACAGAAATTATGTATACATGTGACTTGGCTAAAAACCATTTCTGGTCACACAAATTTGGAAACTGGCCACTGTTTGCTTTGTTGTTAGCAGCTGAAACTGCAGAATCATATTTAGAGAACCACACTGGAAGAAAATGGGATCCCTAATCCTTCCAGCATTCAAAAAGAAAAGAAGAGAAAAACTTGTTCCTACTTCTTATATCAGTCATAAGGGCTCAGTATACTTCTGATTCAAATAGTCAAAAAACAGCCTCAGTCTTCTGGATGATGTTTATGCCTTCAGTCCTCGTGGAACTGAGTGACTCACCCTTCCCATCAACATGTTGTAGAATTAATCAGGAGGAGCCTTCACATACAGGCAGTTGCAGCAGGCCTTCATTTACAAGCTGGCACAGAATGAACCCAAACAATTTCGGACTCAGTCCATCCCACGGCTGGAGTTCATTAGATCAGGATTGCTGAAGTTAACAAAGATTTTACCTCCAGTTGGAACCATTGGTAACCAGTATGTGATCTGTTAGGCATAGGGCAATTGAATCCTCTCTATTTAAGAGATTAACTCACTCAGTAGAATCTGTAGAAAGCACACCTTTGACCAGTTTTATTTTACAACTGCTATGAGAAACTGGACAAAGTGCCAGTTTCAGTTCGTGATGAGGAGTGGTAATCACACTTACAGAGGCTTTCAAAAGAAGTACAAAAATGGAAAATGACACTGATCTTTTTGCTTTGAAACATTTTCCCTCTAGAATTCTTTCATTACATTTGAAACATGCTTTCTTGTCCACAAAAAAATTCTTAAGCCTCTCGTTTAAACATAACACAGCAAGCTCTTTTCTCTTGCTAACCTAACCCAAACACTTTACTTGCAAACCCAATTATAATAGAACTGATATTGTTTGATATTCCAACACATCTTCAATTCTCTTTCATTTGCCTTTTTCTGCTGCCCAGCTCTCTGCTCCGGCAATGTTCACCCACACATTTTCTCTGCCTCCGCAGCTTCCTTTATTTCTCAAAACCTACTTGCCAATTCTCTAAAAATATAAGAACTTAGCTGAATCTGAACAAATGTCAGTTTAATCCTATATCCATTTCCCCCAGTTACTCACTAGATGGCTATGGGAACCCTAAAAGAAAGATGAAATCTACAGCAGCCTTTTGTAAAGATGAATTTGTAATTAGAGGCTTCTGAAATTGGGGGTAATTTATCATTATTATGAGTAGTTGGTAGTACCCCCCCCCTTTAAAGGGGACTATTTAATGATTGTTAACTATGTGTTGAGTGAAGAAGTACAATTTATTTCTTGAGCAAATGGATAATCTCCCACCAAATATAGAGGTTATATGAGAGTTAGAAGATATAAGATTTGGTTGAACTGAAGCTGCTTATTTGTTTCAAATTTTTGAAAGTCATATATAATATTTACCCACATTCTTTTTGATACTGAAATAACTCTAAAACAGTGACTCGCCATCTTTGATCTTCCAGATCTTTTGAATTCCAGATTCCCTGAAGATTGGCCAATCTGGCTGAGACATCTGGGTTTTGAAGTCCAAAGCACATGGAGGACCAACATTTGAGAACTGCTCTAAAACACTTGTCCATAGAACAATTAGAAAAGACTATCATTGGCATAATCTCAGCACACAAGCATTAATTCATTGAGGGGTTTCTGTTTTGTTTGGAAAAGCTTTGCTTTAAAAAAAACAAAGTCTTTTTCAAAATTTTTAAAAACTTTGTATTTTGACTTAATATGTGCATGATGATATTCATACACCTACTAATCAAGTTTTTGCCATAAAAATATTTCTAAGAGATATTGTATTATTAGTCATTTGCCAAACACTTTAGTTATGTTGTTATTCATGTAACAACTTCAGAATGATCACACAATATTCCTTTTGGAAAGGTTAAGCATGGTTCACCTAATATTAGACCTCAAGCTCATGACTGAGCTGTGATTTTAATTCAGAGCTTCTAGGATTGAGAGTGGCCTAGACTCACTCTGATTAATTTCTACTTTAAGTCTTAGTACAGCAGTATAGAAGCCAAATTTCTGCTTTAAGCCTCAGTACAGCAGCATAGAACCACATGTACAGTTGAATGGAAGTACCTCACTCTTTCCCTTTTCTTTTTCACAGGTGTATCTGGCTTATCTGGCTCTGAAAAACCTGTGGGCTGAACCACCGGTTCCTTACAAGCGGACCCTGGATGAAGGGTCTGTTGCCTTGACCACCCTGCCTTCTTGTACTACCACCTCCCTTCCCAATAATATAAGGTACCCTGAGAATATGGGTACAGCCTCTTATCCATCCACTCCCGTACCTCATCGACTAACATTAATGAATAGTGATGACTAGATAAATATTTATTCCTGAAATAAATAAAGGAAGAAGGGAGGATTTGGAAGACCCAAACTTATTTTTATGTGTTACTCTCATTTTGATAAAAAAAATTATATATATATAAAAAAACAGGAAGGTTTTAACAAGTGAGTCCCTTCTTCACATACTTAGTACTATGGGGTAACTTTTAAAGATCAACAGGTGATCACCCACTATGTACTTCCCTTGTTCAAGGCCTACACCATATTTTACATGCTTGTTCCAGTTGTTTAAAATCAAGATAGCCTTAAACAACTGCTTCTAGCTGGGAGACTGCACTCCTGTAGCAGCTGTGAGTACTTTGTTTCTCTTTCTTAACAGAACAATGACATTACAACTACAGAAGAAAAGCGAGAATGTGTATCTAAACCTGCCATAGCACTGTTTTCTTAACTCAATACAATTGAATAAAACTATCATACCCAGCTTAAGGAACCAAAAATAAATGCATGACAGTGCAAGGGGTGTGTGTTCACTCTCTGCTATGAAGTTGCTCACCAGTGGGCAACTGCTCCTTTTCTCTGTTAAGATGCAGATTACAAAATTGATGTGGAAGATCCTGGGTGTGGACTTCGTCATACTTGACTGATTCACAAGTGGCCATTACTTATTTGAGCCATTTGAATACTATTGAGTTTGGGGGTAAATCCAAATTAACTCAGGATGTACACACAGGAACATCTGGTCCTGTCTGCTAACATGTTTTCAATTTTTTTTAAAGTAGCATTTGCATTCATATTTTAAGGGGAAAGCTTAAGGAAATGTGGTACTTTGACAGTGCAGACCTATACATAAATATAACTGGCATGAATGCACTAGAATTTATACAGCGATATATTCGACTGCGGCCTAAGCAATTTCTCACATTCCTGTTTCCATTTTAAAAACCGGCATGTGTCCAAGCACTGAAAATAAGTTAGATCTCTGTGATTCCTCTTCCCTTCACCAGCTACAAGTGAATAATTCTACATTTTCTATGCTGTTTCCACATAAGATAAGTTTTAAACTCCAATCTTTTAGCAGGAAGAAAGCCTCACTGAAAGTTAAATTAATTTCTAAGTCAACACATATGATTGTACTGTAAATCAGAATGCACTGTAAGCAGAATCTACAGATGGACACTCGCTCTAGCCAGTTGATCTTCTACCATTCACACTCACTTCAGACAGGAGCAGCACCATCAGGTGTATCTCTTAATGTCATGTGAAAGTACACACACTTCCTATTAATGTCATTTTGCTATGACATAATAGTCTAGGAAGCCTGAAGATGTGACAGCTACAGAAAATGAGTCTGCATAATATTTAATGTAAAATAGGTTCCTAAGAGAAACACCAGCCACTCTTTTCACAGAAATCAATCAGCAGTGTACCAAAGGTTAGAATGAAAAGGAAAACAAGCGCACACAAATAGGAAACAAAAGATTACAATACGAACAGCCAAGAAAATGTATTTTTTTATTTAAATTCCCTTCCCCTTTCACAAAGGCACTAATTAACAGGGGGGTTGCCTTTTATGTAAAGTGGATGATGAATTAATGATCAAACAATATACAATATGAAGAAAAAGTAAAGGAAAAACTAAAGGAGGAGACAGTCTTATCATGACAATCATTTTTTTTAAATGAGGCCTCCTTCCTCAATGTCGCTATCTAAAGGAAACAGACTAAATTTGTGAATGCTCCTCTTCATCTGGACAGCCCCACAGCATTAGGCCCGCACAAAAGGAGAAACACAAATTTCTTCTTAGCACAACACTCAAAGTGTGAGTGCAAAGTAAGAGGAGAGAAGTCTCTTTCAAAAACAAAACAAAACCAAGATGTTTTCCTACCTTTGCCGGTTCATCACCAAAATGAAAATCAAGAGTAAAGAAATTGAGGAAAATGATCCAAAAAAAGAGGTTTTGAGAAGCCTACAAACTACATATTACCCAGGAGTAGCTGTTGTCTGTTTAGAATCCAAGCTGTATCCTACTTTACCTCCATCTATATCAGTCTCTCAAGCAGAAGAACCATTCATTGTGTTTTTCCCCAAAAATCACTCTCAGATAAGTTTAGGGTGCATGAAGAGACCAATAAGTGATTAACTTGGTACAAAAAGTCAATCTGTGTCTAATTTCCTGTAAAGAAGTCCCTCATCCTCCTTGGCCAAAGACTCTCCCGGTGATCTCAGTCTGGACTATGCAGGCAAACTCAACTTCTTGCCTTTTAGAACTGCAGAAGGAAACAGAAAAAGGATGCATGAGAATTTTAGCAGATGGTTTCGCTACAGCTGTACACCTCTTACCAAATACTAACTAAGGTAACTTGCCTATATAGAAGGAAAGCATTTTTTCCAGCAATTTTTTAAAGAAAGAAAATAGGTTAGCAAGGAATACCCAATATCATTTCAGAATCCAGTAACTTCTGAAAACACAACTCATTGTTTTTATCAACTCATTGTCTTTATCCATATATATAAAGTAATGTGTGTATATTTAGAATAATTATATATATATATATATACACACACACACACACTCTCACACGATTCTAAGATGCGATTGATTGTATAACGCACACTAATTGCAGTACCACTAACAGAAAAAATGTATATGTAATGTATATAGGACCCATGATTCTAAGCTGTACCCTATTTTTAGACATGTTTATATGGAGAAAAAAGTGAGCCTTGGAACTGAAAAAATACAGTGTGCATGTGTATGAATCTAAGTAATAGTATGCATTAGTTAATATGACACAGACATTGCATCAATAAACAAATGGGATATATAAGCATGTGTGGAAAAAATCCAAGCAATACCCTACATTTAACATTTTAATATTATTTTAGAGACACTTCCAAGTTATTTTAATGCCCGAAGCAAAAAATCTAAACATTCCTATACAAGTGAAAAAAATATAAAAGTAAAGGAAATAACTGATATAATCAGTCTTTTAATAGTCCTCCATAATTTTTTGACTTAGTTTATCAGTCCAGTTTAGTAGAATCAAACTATGTTTTTATTTCCTACCATAAGAAAGTGATCCTAATGCTTACATGTTGGAATATAGGAAATATTTACTATACCATCTCTTAAATGCTGGGGAGAAGGCGATAATTGAACTGTTAATTAATTTGTTGCCAACCTACAAGCAGCAAAATGTCAAAGGAATACTTAAGAGGTCTGCTGCCAGAGTCTGAAGTCTGACTGTAGTTGTAGGGTGCCTCCTAGTGAAATCCCAGACATACCGCAGCTCTGTCTCAAAATTTCTGTTCCTTTCTGAGATGTATTGTTTTCCACTTAATAGTTCTAATCTCACCCAGCTTTCAATTCCAGGTGTATTTCTATGAAATACCATCAAGAAATAGTTTGTTTCAAGGTACCTTTTGTAATGTAGAGGTAGAAAAAATCACAGTAGAGTATGGTTTGCACTAAGCCAGCCACAATGGCAATTAGATCGAAGAAGTTCTCAAACTGGTAGCGCCAGATCCAATTGAACAGGTAGAGGGCACGGTAGACACCCAGAGCAAAGAGATAGTGGCTTGTGATGGTTTCCGCTTCACCTGTCTTACTGACCATGAAGAGCTGTGGCAGGATAGCTACTGACTCCAGGTAGATGGAGAAGGTCCACAGGATCTGGAGGCATCCAAGGGAGAGAAAGTATGAGTGCATTTGATGAGAATTTCCAATGAAATGTAACTTAGCACTAACTCATAAAGCCCACAAAGTTGTGCTGCCAAGTACAGCTAGCTGTTGCAGAGGACATGTGAACTGTCTATTATTACACTGAAGATTCCAGACTGATTTGACTGATCATATATTTAGAGCTTTTTTCCCACATGATCTGTCACTGAAAATACTGGATGGCGCTGATGCAGGTTTTATCCTGCAACCTTTTGCGACTGCATCCCAATTAGCATTTTGCTTGGTTTTTGTTTTGTTTTTGTACATTGTTAAGAACATTTCTTGTGATATTCTTATTCATATTGAACTGTATCCAGATGAAGATGGCTAAACTTTAGTCCCAATGAAATTAATAAGATAATTTAGTCTTTACCTTTTTTTAGTTCCATATATTTAATTGGGATTAAAGTAGTCTGTGTTGCACCATATTTACAAGCCCCCACTATTTTTGGAGATTTTTTGTTTTAAAACAAAAAAGTTGAGTTTGTATAACACTCTTATACTACACATAACTCATTACTTACAGTCTGAAAATTCCCGTTGGGGGTGGCAGAGGGATATGTTTCCACCCAGCAACAGTGGCAACAGCAATAAAGGCTCACTTGACTTAAATTTGTTTAAATGTTCCTCAGATTTACTACTTGGAGTATGCTTACAAAAATGCTAACAAACAAACTCAGTTTTATTTTAAAAAACAATGTAAACCCAAAATAATATTACTACTTTTACACAAAGGATTGCCAAACAAGGGAGGTGGGGAAGTAAGATGAAAAGGAAGAAGTGGAAACTGGAGAAAACATAACACCCAACATATAAAATGCAAAAATATTTGGACATGCTGTATAGCTGTCCTCTGACTAGAATACCAAATGCTGCCACCAGATTTGTGAATAAAATGTTTACAACTGAGATTAGAAACCCTTATCTTACAGAATTACATGTTCAGAACTTGTCAACACAAGAGAACTTCCAACATTACATTACCTCTAGAGGAGTGAAGTCATGGTTCACTAGGAAAGCTAACACTGCTGTAGGGATAACTAGGAATTCCACCCGGAAGGTGTCATGGTTGCCATCATAGGTGGCTTTGAATTTGCTGTAAATCATCCACACTGTGGCATATGAGCATGCAATATAAACCACCTATAAGAAACAGAATATATCAAGAGGGATCACTCAGATCAAATATTATACCACTACCCCAATTCCTACCCATTTCACTACATCTGCTTAATACATTACTGCATAGTGTATAGAGAGACCTATAATTATTATATACATATAATTCAGAGTCCTAGAAAATCAATATTCTTATTTATTGTAACTCTTCTAGATTCAGCCGCCCTCTTCAACC